GGGTGAGCAGACCAAGTTGTTGGCAGCCTCCAGGGGCTGAGCAGAGCCCCCCTCCCTTCCCCAAGTCCTGGAGGTGGACACAGCTGCCAGGAAGTCACACACAGTGCCCACCTCCTGGCAGATGAACTGAGACGAACTGGGGACACAGGCTGGGGAGCTGAACAGAGCAAGTCCTCAGTCTCCCACAGCCTCCATCCTGCTTCAGCTGGGGGCCAGGCCTCTGGCTACATCCTCACTCCCTGCTTGGCCTACCTGCCCTCAATCATGTTCTCTGCTTCCTTGTCCAGTTCTGCTAAGCCTGATGCCTCCCCAGAGAAGTGGGTTTCTACAGCTGCCTTGGGGACAGCTGGGGATGGACCACCCTTTTCCCCTCCCCACAGCTTTGGAGGTGTCCCACTCCCATCCAAACTGTGTGCCCTTCAAGCTTTGGTGGAGGGGACTCTTCCTCCAGGAAGCCTTCTTGGAACTCCCTCCCCTGAGTCAGCCTCTCTGGCCTCTTGTCCATGCTCTGGGCTGATGCACCTGGAGGAAGGGGTGCTCACCCTCCCTTCCTGCTTGTGGGGTGTAGCAGCACCAGCCCTTCCCTGTTTCCTGGCTTCTCCAGCGTCTACTGTGACCATGGCCAGCTCAGGGCTGTCTGAGCCACATAAAATCCTCCTGTTATTAAAATGTTCTGCTGGCGCTGGAGGAGACAGCCAGGGACGTGCCTCAGGCCCTACCCTAGCAGGTGAGTCTGCTCAGAGGCCAGAGAGCTCGCTGAGTTGTCATTCCAGGTGGGACAGCAGGGAGACTGCAGCTGGGGTCTGAGGGGGCCAGATGGCCGAGTCTCTGCTCAGACGTCTGAGGGCACCTTGGGGCCCCTCTGGGCTCCTCCAGGTCCCTCCGTACTCCAGTCTGTGACCTTGGGCCCGTCATGGCCACCTGGGGAGTGCTGAAGGCTGTGAAGCTGAGCAGAAATGACAGGATCCTGTTTACCCATCTGGCAGCTACTGGGCCAGGGACAAAACGAGGGGAAGGCCTGAGGGGGCTGGGCTGAACCCAGCAGGAAGGTCCTTTGCATCAGGCTTACTCATGAATGATGCTACAGGGGCCCCCAGAGATGGTGCCATGGCATGGGTAACTACTATTTCAGAGTGACCCCACTATGTGGCAGCCCTGGGTGGGAACAGAGCCCCAGGCCTGGCTGGGTCATTGGTCATCCTGAAATGCTATGAGGCATAGGGTGTGCCTTTCCTGGGCCAGGATCAGTGGTTCTGCAGCTGCTTCCTAGCTGGCCTGAGGCCAGATATCCACAAGATGCCCCCTGGGAGCCCAGGATGAGGGCCTGAGCAGTCTCTGGCCAGTCCTTCAGGCCCTGGGCAGGTGCGCTCCCTACTAACCACAGAGATGCCCGTCACGAAGCTATGCTTCTAACCCCTACCACTCCTGGGAAGCCCCAATGGCATCCCAAGTGACCTTGGCTCTGCCCTCTCAGTGTCTGGGTCCTGACTGGGGGGCTGGTAGGTAGAGTGCCCTTCATGACCACCAGCTGCCTAGAAACCAACCACCCAGCTGCTAGGGGCCCAGCTGATCTGTCTGACCCCAAGTCCATAAAAGAAATGCTAGGGTCAGAAGGTCCAGCCACAAGGCACAGAGGGCCCAAATTGGGGACCCAAGCTTATCCCCTCCCTTCAAGGGACTTCGCAGAAATGGCAGGACCCACATCCTCTCTGCTACTCCCTGCTGGGGTCTGGGGCTGAGGCTGAGCTGAGGCCTGCATGCAAATCCTGCCTGCTGCCTCCCAGTTGTATGGTCTGTCTGTGACTCGGACAGTAAGTGTCCCTCTGTGCAAAGGGAGAGTAACCACCTAGGGCCACATGAAAGTCGGTGCAGGAAGCCTGAGGGCACTGGTACAGGGCCAACATGCAAGCTCTCGGGTCAGGTATCATTACTCCCCCAACAGCCCCAATTCATCTGCCTCTTCCTACCTCAGTTAAAATATCAGGGTGCTGGCTGGAGGCCCAGGCCCAGGCAGGCCCCCCGTATGCCTGGGCTCATGAGATGGGCTGACGACTCCAGAGGGAGGGACGACCAGTGGGCATCCCTCCAGAGCTGCCCTGGAAGGAAAGAGCACTCCGTCCCTGGGAGTATGCAAACAGAGTCTGGAGCGGAGTGGTGGGGGCCTCAGGGCCTTCCTGACCCCACTGCCAGCTCCAAGCCACTGTCTGAATGCTGCTGAGGAGAAGGGTGTCAGGCAAGGACCTTGGCCCTGGGAACCTCTATGTGTCCCAAGACTCAATTTTCCTGTCACAAATGCAATTTGGAAACAAATAAATCCAATAAACAACAAACAAATAAATCCAATAATCTAAACAAATAAATCCAATGTGCCCACTGCCCTTTATTCAGCCACTGTTCTGGCTGCACTGACGCCAACACAGGGCAGTATCTACCCCAACACATGGCCATAGACATGCTGCCCAAGAAGCCGAACTCACTGAGGCCTCTGCCATTGGCCTGACTGGGGATTCATGCCCAGAGACCCTAGGAGGTCTGGGGGGCTATGTAGGACAAGAAGGAGCCAAGGAGGCACTGGGCATCAGGCCAGCTGTGGCCACCGCGGCCCCACATAGTGGCTGGCATAACCCTGCTCCCCAGATAGGGAAACTGAGGCTTAGAAACTGCCACATAGCAGACAAGGGTAGGGCCAGATCCCAACCCAGGAGACTTCCTGGGTGTCTTCACCCCTTGAGTGCCTCCACCTTTGGACTGAGGGTGGACGAGGGGTCTGCCATTAGTGGATGGGTACCCAGCCCCCTGACAGGTCAAGACCTGCTGGTCCAGCCTCAGTATGAGCCAGTTTGTCTTGGAGCCCCCACCTTGGGGACCATGCCACAGGGTGAGTTAGAGTGGGAACCCCACACAGGCAGGACACCCCTTGCCAGCCCAAGGTCATCCAAGGTCACCAAGCTCTGCTCCAGCTTGTGTGTTCCCAAGGGTTCCTGAGTTGGCTGGTCCCCAGGGGATGGACCCCAGGCAGCTTGGCTCTGCTCTGGCCCC